ATAGCAGAAGCAGCAGATCTATAAGATGGGATGAAAAAACTGAGTCTCTGGTTTCAATTCATTTTGGATACTTGAATATACCTTTATAATTAAGTTCTGTAAGATCCTGCTATATCATTTTACTATATCCCTATTGTTAAGCTAGTTGGAGCCAGCTTAACATAATCATAAGCATTTTATTTTTAAGCAAGAGGCCAAGGCAATGTGAGTTCTGTTTTGGACATTTTTCACTTTCTTCCTAGTCCTGCTTGTGTAACTTAACTGTAGACACAAAGGAGAGGAATCAAATATTAAAGGTGTTTCTTCTTTTGAACACCTCTCAGGAGGTGTGCTCTGGGATGAAAAGGTTAATAGAAAACAATAGCAATATTAATAATGAAGCTGAAATGTCACTACTCTTCTCCAGCTCACCAGGTACTTGTTTTTATATTTTACCTCTTCAGAAAGTCTTAAAGTGAATAATGAGTATAAACTAAAAAAAAAAAAAAAAAGTTTCATATGTAGGAGTACATATATTTAACTGATACGTTTGAAAATCTTAATAAAAGATAATTTCCTAATAGTGTTGATAACAATTGTATCTGAATATTATATCTCCTTTCTACTGATGGAAGAACCAATGATAATTTATAGAGGGTATTAAAATAAAGGATAGCACATAAGATTAACATGTTGTACATATTTAAAATATATACCCAATAGATCTCTTTTAAAAAAATTATTTGAATTTAGAGACAGAGGGAGGGAGAGAGAAACATTGTTTTGTTGTTCTACTTATCTATGCATTCATGGTTTTTTTTCTTGTATCTTGTATGTATCCAAATTGGGGATGGAACCTACAATCTTGGTGTATTGGATAATGCTCTAACCAACTGAAGCAGCTGGCCACGACTACACAATAAATTTCTAACTCAATAATTTTAGGTACTATTAGAACTGCAGTCTTATAATTATCATTCCTGTGATAATTCTTCCAAACAGGCATGCTATATACACACCTTTTGCTAACATTGGACTTGTCTGTCTACTAGGATATATTCTGTTTCTGAATACCAGTGGAGCAGAAATCAGCCTCTAAAAATCTGATAATGGCCCTAACCGGTTTGTTTGGCTCAGTGGATAGAGCGTCGGCCTGCAGACTGAAATGCTCCAGGTTCGATTCCAGTCAAGGGCATGTACCTCGGTTGTGGGCACATCCCCAGTAGGGGGTGGTGCAGGAGGCAGCTGATTGATGTTTCTCTCTCATTAATGTTTCTAACTCTCTATCCCTCTCCCTTCCTCTCTGTTAAAAAAACACACCAATAAAATATATTTTAAAAATCTGAAAGGCATTGAACTCTCAGAGTAGTAAAAAGAAATTCTCCTCCTCTTGCAACCCCGTAATATAAAAACAAATCAAGATGAGGTGGTTAAGCATATTTGATTTCTATTTTGAAAAGTCACACTATTCTTTCTTCATAAGCAAACCAAAGAATTGACTGTATCTGATAGAAAGCAACAAAGGCACAGTCTAGCTTGCACCCAAACCAGAAATGTCTTCACAGCATTTCCTTTAGAAGCCTACCCAGCAGCTTTGTTTCATTCACGTTAGTATTTCCTGAAACTGGGATCCACTGTTGGCACTCAACACTTTATTGAACTATATCCTTTCCAAAGTGGACTGGTTTCCTTCCATGGCTATTCCCCCAACAGAAAATCCTGTGCTTTCCCCAATACACCCAGTTACAACTCCTGCCCTATCACATGAAGCAGTGTGTGCTCATTTAACTGTGCCAGTGATTCACAGCAGACTCTCAATGTTTGCTTTTAAGACAGTACAACCAATCCTGCTTGAAAAAAGGTAGACTAAATTTCCTGTGAGTTGTAAACCCGATTTGCCCTCTGTCTCTTCCTTTTGCAGAACTCAAGCACTTCACCCTTTTAGTAGCCTTTCCCTTCAAAGCTCAGGCACTGCACCCCTTGGTTTCTGTCAGTAAAACAAAAATAGGCAAATCTCATGCCTGAACCCTGCCTTCTGGTGAATTATCACATCAAATTGGAGGTGCCAGGGTAGACATTTTCAGGGGATATGCAGGCACTCTACCCTCCACATGGCTATCTGCCTCTTCCCCTTCCAGAGCACTTTTATAATTATTCATCAAATTAGTTTTTGAATAAGATTAGAACTAAATATCATCTAGTCTTTCATGCCCCTTTGAGGCAAGGGGAGCTTATTTTTGCTTTGATTCTAGGAATAAGATTGAAAGTTCCCTCGTTTATCAACACACACACACACACACACACACTGCTAGATGGAGGGTACAATGGTGAATCAGACAAATAAGGTCTTGTCTTCATGGGGTTCTTGGAAGATAAATGCACATAAATACCCTAAAGAAAAGGGTTTTCATATGCTTAAAAACTCCAATCTTCTTGCCTGGTCTTAACAATCAGAAAATATGAAATAAACAGCGTGACATCATTTAACATGTAATTCTTTTAACAAGCAATCATAGCTCCAAAATCAGCTTATAAATGAAAAAAACAAAAACCAAAACCCAAAGCCCCCAAATACTACATAACAAATTAAGCCAACCCACTCCTTAGTTCATTCTAGGTTTGAATGAATTGATCAACTTTTCTCTGACCCAATCCTTTTATAAGGATTGTCCTAATAAAACAGTAAAAGGACAATACTGACTTTTCCCTAGCCTCTTTTGCTAAGTGTCTCTGGACATCTAATGGGAAGCACTTCCTACAGATCTATTTCTCAAGTCTATAAGCAATTCCCCAGGCACTCTACCCTCCACATGGCTACCTGCTGCTTCCCCTTCTGGACCACTTTGAGTCTCCCCCATAAAAAGACACAGAGCCCCTCAACTTTAGGTCAGCTCAGCACTTTGCCAAGACCAGGTCGGTGGCTTACTAGTCCATTCCCCTTCTGCTAATGCTTAAGAAGTGACTTGGAAGCGTGGTGGGAAGAACGAGTTTATTTCTCCATGTTGGCCTTTTTTACCTCTTTCATTTATTAACAATTAAAGTAGAAAAACAGTTTTTGCTATTATTTATTACAGGAGTAACTTTGCCTTTGTCCATACACCACCTAGTATCTTCTTTGCTGCTCATTCCTACCCCAACATCACTACCTTCACGTCTAAAGTACATCAGAAGTTGTGTCTTAAGTCATGGTGATGATATGTGATGTATATATTGTAGCCCCTCGCAATAGGCAAAGCCATGAACTCTTCATGCTAGTCTTGCAGTTCATTTCTAGACACAACCTTCCCACATCCCGCTCTTAAGGCCTGCAGTGAGTTACTTTTC